CAATTATTTGGCCACATGAAAATTGTGAGCATGTGCACAGGTTACAAAATTACAATTGCAGCAACTGCATAAGAGGTCATTTCGAGAGCAAAGCACTTGGAATGCTTTTTTTAAAAAAAAAATTCAAATTATCTTCTCTGGATCAACAGAGCTCAACCTTTCTTTTCTGCCTCCAAAACTGCATAAGAGGTCATTTCGAGAGCAAAGCACTTGGAATGCTTTTTTTTAAAAAAAAATTCAAATTATCTTCTCTGGATCAACAGAGCTCAACCTTTCTTTTCTGCCTCCATACCACTTACATGTGTAACACATTCTCCCACTGTACATAGCTTTCATTAAAAGCTCCAGACATAGCTGAAAGGGTTGGGGACGTATTGCTTGAAGCATTGCTCTAGCTTTTTGCTAGTCTAATACTAGCTGACCCATTTGCTCACCAACCAGGGAAAACCAGAGTTGGATAACAAAAATAGGAGGAACTCCTTTCTTCTAGAACAGTGTACTTTTAAGGCCAGGCAGATTGGTCTGAGGGTCATTAAGAGGTGAAGTAGAAACCACCAGCTGTAGTTTCTTTTTGAGGCCCTCCAGAAAACCCTGAACAAAATAAAAAAAAAGTGACACAGTTAGGGTCACCTGTCTACTTTCCTTTTGCACTATGCTATGTAAAGTAGAAATCAACGCTGGAGACTGGAGCACTAACAGTAACACTAGTCTACCAAAGAAAACAGCATGGGTCTACAGAAACCCCCTTGGTACTAGACAGCATTTTGGTCTGCCTTAAGCCTTCTAATGAAGGATTGCTGCTGCCTGGCTGTAATGGTACCTTTTTCTGTTGGTGATCTATCATGACATTGTGAGGTTTCACATCCCTGTGCATGATTCCCTTGCTGTGGCAGTAATCCAGAGCCTATTAGGTAAGAAAGCACAGAGAAAAGTAAGCAAACCCTCTACCACCCCCAATGCAAGCATATTCTTATTATTTGCTTGTGATACCCTGACTTGAATACAGTCTCCCAAGAGGCAACTTATTGCTTGTAATGCAAGAAAAAACATGTTTCGGAAGATACCCCTTGCTCTCTACTACAGCTGGCAGCCAGTAGAAAAGGGACTATGGAGGGAATGTCAAGGACTATGACAAAGGTGCCTTTAAAAAGAGGAATGGCAAATCATATTTAAAAACTTCACTGGTGTCTCATAAGTGGTTCAAAGGACATGTCAGAATCCATGTGAACATGAAGAATAATATCCGAATATATCTGTCAACAAGGCTTATCTTTCAGACAAGCTTCCCATGTGGGTTTTCTAGATTAAAAAGCACTAGTATTTTCTACAAATACAATCCTTGAGCCAGCAGACCTTTAAGAATTTTCGTTATATGATTACTGTAAGGAGGAAAATTGCTTCGTATAATTGATGTGTATATAAGATCTTTTTATATATGTCCATGATTTTTAGTAAATTTAGAGGTGTACAATCATCAATCACCATGATCTAGTTTTAGAACTTTTCCATCACCCTCAAAATTCCCCTTGAGCTTTTCTGCTGCAGTCAATCTCCACTCCCAACTACTTCCAACCCCCTCCTTGCCCTGCCCCTAACCACTGATCTGCTATCATTTGCTAAAGATTTGCCTTTTCCGGACATTCATAAGATGAAATCACACATGTGCAACACTTTGTCTACCTTCTTTCACTCTGTATACTGTTTCTGAGATTCATCCGTGTTGCTTTTTCTTGCCGAGTAGTATTCCACTGTATAAATGTACTAGCTGATGGACATTTGGGTTGTTTCTACTTTTTGGCTATTATGCATACTACTGCTATGAATAATCATGTACAAGTCTTTGAGGGATATATGCTTTCATTTCTCTTGGGTAGATACCCAGGAGTGAAAGTGCTGTGTTATATGGTGAGTTTATGTTCAACTATTTAAGAAAATGCCTCCTAATTATTTTCCAAAGTTGCTGCACCATTTTACATTTCTATCAGCAACACATGAGGGTTTCAGTTTCTCCACATTCACATCAACACCTGTTATTATTCATCTTTTTGATTATAGCTGTTCCAGTGGGTGTCAAGTGGTATCAGATTGTGGTTTTGATTTGTACTTCCCTAATGAGTGATGAAGTTAAGCATGTTTTCATGTGCTTATTGTCCATTCTATACCTTCTTTCAAGAAATGTTAATTTAAATCTTTCACTCATTTTATTTGGGTTGTTAAGCTTTTTAAAAGATAATATGAAAATTTGCTCCTAAATTTTCCTTTCCTAATACAATAACTACTTCCATAAATTTCACAGTTAGAACCCTTGGCTTGTCTTAAAAAGCACGTGAAGCCCAAACAAGGTCAATGATACACTCCGCAAGTAATAATGATCACAGCCCATAATCACACAGTGCCTACAATGTGCAAGGCACTAAGTGTTCTTGGTGGAGTTTTCCATGGGACCGCATCAGGGCTTCTCATAACCTCAGCACTGTTGACATTTTGGGCCAGATAATTCTCTGCTGTGGGAGCTGTCCTGTGTATTGGAGAATGTTTAGCAGGATCCCTGGCCTCTACTCACCATATGCCAGTAGTGCCCCTCTAGTTGTAACAACCAAAAATGGTTCCAGATATTGTCAAATGTCCCCTGGGGAGCTACCTTGACCTGGTTGAGAAACACTGAACCTGACTAGCAAGGACACTGTACTAGGCATCTTTCATAAGGAATACATAAGCCAGAGAAAGATCCTGAGGATCAGCAATCCAGGAATAAGCTCCCCTGGTTTGTATCAAATTTTGCTTTCTCCAGATACAAAAAAAAGAGTATACAATGTATAATGCTTTTATTTGGAGATCAAGAACAGGCAATACTGAACTATGATGACAGAGATAAGAATATAATCTTCAAAGGAGGGAATACTGAAAAGGGACACACAAGAGAGCCCTTTGAGATGTTCATATTATCATCTACCAACCCTGTCCAATAGAACCTTCTGAAATAATAAAAATATCTTATACCTCCACTGTATAGCACAGTAGCCACTAGTCAAATAAGGCCATCAACACATGAAATGCAGCTAGTGTGACTAAGGATGTGAATTTTTAATTTTACCCAATTTAAATAGCTACCTATGGGCAATAGCTACTAAATTGGATAGTGTAGTTCTATGTAGATCTGGGTAAAGGTTTTACACATGTAAAATCCCAAAAAATGTACACTTGAGATTTATTCACTTATATTCTACTTCAACTTAATTTTTTTTCTTTGTTTTACAACAGGTGTAGCAAGATTCCAAAGTGCCTTTGTGGCAGTGCCTTATGAAACCAGGGGATATGAGGTCAAACATCCTTGAATCTGAATCTTGATACAGGCTCTGCTGCAATCCCCAGAGAGTTACTGAGCAATCACACTGCAACCTCCAGCCTCAGTTTCTTCTATATTTTCCATGAAGTTAAATATTCCCTCTTCCCCACTCCTATTTTTTTCAGAGAAAATTTAGCAAGTATTAATTCAGCTATTTTGTCTAGTCTTTACCCAAAGGAATAAACTAATTAGAACCACAATATCTGGGATGTGAAAAATACCTGATGAACAAAGACTGAACAAATGTAGTAAGGTAATTAATTCTTTTGCCAAGTTCACTAGTCAGACATCCTGTTGAGTGACTGACATGCTTTTAAATTCCATGGGAATTATTTTAGTTTCAAAATCTGGTACAGTTTCTGACCATTAAGCATGAAAGACATTTTTCAAATTTCATCTGAGATTCTATGCCTCATTTAGCAGAAAGAAGTATTTCCTAGATGCTGCCTCCAGAAAGCAGACAGGACATCAAACATTGAGTGGCATCTGTCCGACCAGCTTGTGAAGATCTGCATTATTGGGATGTCTTTACCTGACCTAAGAACGAATGTGCTGTCCTAGCTGCTGCCTCCAGAAAGCAGACAGGACATCAAACATTGAGTGGCATCTGTCTGACCAGCTTGTGAAGATCTGCATTATTGGGATGTCTTTACCTGACCTAAGAACGAATGTGC